AATCAAATATAAATTTGTATTTGTATTTGATTTGATTTTCAAATCAAATATTCAAATATCAAATTGAATTGCGGAACTCTAGCTATAATACTTGATGAATATTAATGAATAATTAAAAAGTTAGATTGGATTAGTTAAAAAATAATAGTTAAATAATAGTTAAAATAAATAAAAGTTAAATAAAATAAATAAAAATGATTAAAATAAACTTATCTTTTTTGATCATAAATTTCTTTTGCTAAAAAGCTTAACAAATTAAAACAATTAGATAATCTATTCATCATTTCAATGTATTGTATAAATAATTATTATACAGTAATCAGTGTGATAATTAATGTAGTGATATATTAAAATTTATAGAAAAATACATTTCATGTTCTTGCATTTTTCTTTACATTTTCTTTTTAAAAAAATTAAAAAAAATATGCAAAGTCTTTTGAAAATATCAAACTTTAGTAAAGATTTTTTTTATAAACTACCTCAAGACTTATACCAAAAATTTTGTAACACCTATACATATTATAACTAAGCCATACTTTGTGATCCAAACTAAACTGATAAAAATTAATGCAAAAATATATAATTATTTAAAAAAAAATAAAAAACATAATGCTACTTTTATTAAAGATAAAATTCATGAATATTATAAAATCATTTCTTTTACTTTTTGCTCATAATAAAGACATTTTGTATCCCGTGATATTAATATAAGTTTCAATAATACTAACTAAATTTGCTACACATCCACTTTGTCTATAGGATTAATCGATACTAAAACAATATCAAAAAAATACTATTTCACAATATAATGCAACTGAACAGATCAATTTAGCCACCAAAAGTATATCTGAATATCAACAAATGATAGAATTACTGTAGATAGTTCATTGAAAGATACATTAACATCCAAATTTATTGAAAAACCAAAATTATATCAGAGCAAAGTATGCAATTAAAAAAATTGAAGCGTTATGCTAAGGCATAAGTGAAACTTGTAGTAAAAAAAAAATACTAGAAAAAGGAATTGTAGAAAACTATGACATCTTAAGAAGACCATTTGCAGCTATAAAGGATCTGGATTTATAAGATAAGATTCATAATTGTATTGAGTTCAGAACTGCTCATGCTAAAAAAAGAAAAAAAGGTTATTAAAGTTTATATAATGAAGCATTTATGTGAATCACTTGAAGAAAAATACAACATATACTTATCTCACTAGTGTTTATTAACTTATCTTTAATTCTGTCACTAAATACTTTTGCTATGCATTGTCATTATCATCCAGCAAAAGCTAGTTTTGCTTCAGTAACATAAATAGAGATAAAATCTCATGTTAATGAATATTATTATTTAGCTTCTGTTAAAACTGCCAAAGTATTTGCTAAAGTGTTACTGATAAGGCAGTTATTATATAAAACCATTTAAATCATTAATGAACTAGTTATGATTAAAGATCATAATTTTCCAATTAGTTCAAAAATAAAACTCATATATTCTGTTTATCTGATCATTAATCCAGCTGATTTGAGTAATATCCTATGAACTAGTCAACTTTTCATATTCATTATACCAGTATATTTTATTAGAATATCATTGGCAACCAATATGGCAGATTTAGAAAACATCATTTCAGATAAAGAGTTTTCTGCTACCCTAAAAAAGAAGGTAAAATTAGATCTATTTTGGGTCCTTCTTGTTGATGGTAAACCTAATGAAAATCCAAAACATATGAAAATTATTATTTAATATACTTATCTTTTTGGTGTTCTCAATCTAGATTACTTGACTATTCGTACACATGTTTTAGGTCAAAGTACGTATAATCTATTCTCTGCAAAGCTTGCTAGTATCACTGTATTTATGAAAAATTCAGGTTACATCTTAATAGTCAAAGGAATATTATAGATAAAGAATTAGCATAACGGAATTTTAAATATTTGGAAAAAAAAATATATGATATATAGAAAAGAGATGACATATATGAAAAGCCTATAAAGTAAAATATATCGACCAAGTGAGATACCTGTTTAATGAGTCTGAATCTAAGCCTTAGATATCATAGGAGTGAATTGAAAATCATATGCAGATTTATCACTATTTATTAGATATAAGAAAATGCAAAGATCATGAATGCTGCAAAAAATATAGAGCTTTAGATACAGCCATTCTTTTAAATAAGAATAATGAATTTCTTCTTCCAACTACAAAAGGAAAAGATAGTTATTTCATCAACCTAATTTACGCTTTTTAATATCACAATAAACTTAAAATTTCACAATATGATAGTTGTTGTCTTTCAATTTTATGAAAATTTCATTAGCGTTTATTACAACATATGCAGAAAATACTTTTCAACTTTTAAGTTCATAAATGATTATAAGCAAAATATACACTCTAGACATCACAAACAGAAAATACTAAAAAACATTCAGAAATAAGCTAATGAGTCAGAAATAGATTGTGTACTTGTTTCATTAAATCAAAATTATAATGTCACTGAAAATATAATTCTAAAAAGAGATTTATAACAAAAGGTTAAACAGATTCCTCGTAAAGTTTAATCAGACAAAGATTGAAAGATCAAGAAATTGTGGCTTAGATTATATTTACAGATAGTCTTATAATGTCACAATAATGTAATATCGATTACATAATAAAAACTTATAATTTGGATTCTATAATAATGTAATATAATATCAATATTATACAAATGAAATTTTTTATAGTATTAGTTAAAACCTTTATAAGTGAGTCAGTTCTTTACTAAAAAGTATAAGACTACATTGACTTTGGATAAAATTTTAGTTTAAAAAACCAATGATCTTATATTATATATATCATGTGATTATAACCACCTGATATATGAGACCGACCCCACTTCTCAATTTAAATTAGCTAATTTCTGATATGTCTCTAACAAGATCAGCTTGAAGCACATTTTCTACTTAAAGAATTAAAGTTTACTCAATAAAAAAAAGATAATCTTTTTTCACGTTTTAACTCAACTTTATATGATTCAAAGTATATAACTAGATCTTTTTATTTTAGTAATAAAAATAAAGTTATTTTTAAATAAATCTCTTTTTTTTTAAAGTTTATTATATGTTTCTTTTATTTTTTGAACTTACTTTCAGCATTCTTATGTTAAGGAAATATAAAAAAATTGTTAACTATGTGAAACAAAAAAAAATTTAAAAAATTGCAAAATATTATACAAAATACTTTTGTTAACTTTATTAAAGTATAAAAATTACAAAATTTCATATATAAAGTTTATTTTTTCTACTAAAATTCATTTTTTTGCTATATTAAAAAAAACTTCATTAAGATAAATGTATTAGATAAAAAGGCATTTATATAATATATATTCACAAACTTTAATTTGTTAAATATAATATGAATTTTAGTTTATTAAATATAGTATGGCAAGATTTTTTCTATATTTAAAAATCTGTATCACATTAATATTATAAAATTCGTTATATTAAAATTTGCTATAGAAATAGTTGACTATACTTACTTATTCTTTTCTAAAAAAAAAAAATCTATCAAATTAAATTTTTTTTAAACTTATTATCTACTATTAGAATTTTTATTTACAGCTAATTTCATAATTCGTGGACCACTAATAAATTGTGACTGAATATGACTGAAAATTTTTTATAATAAAATTACTATAAAATATTGCGATTGAATACGACTGAAAAATTATTAATGGTCCATGAATTATGAAATTAGCTGTAAAAAAGAATTTTATAAGTTTTACAGGTCATAATCCAAATTTATTGAATCAAATAATTTCAATTTTGTTATAAATCTTCATTGTATTGATACCTATTTTAGCATCAAAATTTGTCAAATCAACTTTATAGAAACCCTTAAAATTCTAACGATATCAATTTGATATCGCAATAATATTATTTCGATATCGAATCAATATCATTATGATATCTATGTCGATTTGATATCATAATAATATCACATTGATATGGGATCGATATCGATATTCATATCTTAATGATATCAATTTGATATCATTATGATATTATTGATTCGATATCAATACGATGTTGATATGATAAGGTTACAATATGGTTAATGATATCGAATCGAGATCAATGCGATATCGAATCGATAATATTGTGATGATAATGATTCGATATTGAATCATTATCGTAAAGGTATGGATTCTATGTAGAATCCTTATTGTTATGATATAACAAATGATATGGATTCGATATAGAATTCTTATTATTACGATATAATAAATGATATAGATTCTACATCGAATCGTTATCGTCACGACATTATCAATTCGATATCATATCGACCTCAATTCAATATTGTTAACCTTATCGTAACCATATCATATCGACATTGAATCGATAATATCGTAACGATATTGAATCAATATCGTTAAGATATGAATATCGATATCGATATGTGATATCGTTATGATAAGAATTTGATAATTTATGAAATATATTACAAATTTGAAAATATTATTATTATGATGCA